CAACGATTCTAACTATTTTTCAACGTTGATTTAACATCATGTGCTATCTGGGAATAATTAAAAAAAATCCATGCTGACATACAAACAACACTCAACATTTGGATGGAGATTAGTGACGAAAACATGTAAAAAAAGTTTAATTTTTAACATGCTCCTCCTGAGCGTCTTGTGATTCTAATAGAGAGGAGGCACGGCACTGCAGAATGTCATCTCTATGGGAAAACTGGCCACTCTCAAGCCAAAAGTCATCCGACACAGACTGTAAGTAGTAGATCAGATTAATATTTTATAATATTGTAATATGTCCCCATCACTTAGATTTCAGGGCTCCGTTTATTTGCAAAAACAACTTTGGATATGAACACATGAACACTGACAGCGATTCAACAAATGCCACTGTTTATGAGACTGATTTCATTTTAAAGTATGCTTTATACAGAGATATGGTTTCTCTCTTTATTCACAGTTTTATGACATTTGTTAAATCTTGTTTTTGTATTACTTTTCAGTATTTACCGTTTGGTGTAGCTTATAGTGTTCACACTATACAGGAACATGTCAAACCCAGAAGTGGCTGTTGGTGAGTAAGTTAATCTTCTGAGAGATTCTAAAAGATGTTTCATTGTTTTTTTATTCACACCAACATGTTCTTAAAATGGCTTTTTCTATGCAGCGACTGTCGGCCCTTTAGGAGAGAATCCAGCTCAGATTATGTGCACGAAGTGCCATCAGACTGTCGTCTCTGAGGTGAAATATTCCTCTGGATTACTCACCTACCTTTTCTGTGGAGGACTTTTCTTCTGTGGGTAAGGGGAACTCTACTGTTGTTTAGGTTGTGCATATTTTTTGGAGGTGGGGCTTAAAGTATAAAATTGCTGACAGAGACACAACTTGGGCATAATGATTGTTTAAGGAACTTTAATATTATTATTAATTATTTAGTTGTAGTTTCGTGGAATTAAGAGATAGGTCCGTTTTTCACCCTGTGGGATTGGGTTTATAAACAGTCTTTGTTTTAAGTATTGTTGAGTTGTTTTTTGTTTGTTCTGTATTTGTATTATTCTGTACAAAATTCTAAATAAAGTGATCTAAAATAATAATAATAATAATAATAATAATAATAATAATAATAAGTGTTTCCATACATACATCCTCAGTCCATGGGGAGCTATTAAGATTTTTTAAAGTTATTTTTCTATACAAGCAACACATTGAAAAATCCACAGGAGCACATTTCCCTTCAGAGATTCATATGTTGATACCTAGTTGTTATTTTGTAGGATATTTCATATTTGTTTTAGAATTTAATAATCAATGCTAATTTGAATGTCATGTCTGCAGCTCCAGAGGATTCACAGGTTTACACATCGTTACAAATAAAATGATTAAAAGTTTCTGGGCCTGGATATAAAATCAGTGGGTTTAAATTACTGTGTCAGGTGGTGATTGTGAATTTTCTGAGTAGGAGGTTCTGAATGCGTCCACTTTCTCCTCCAGGTTTGTGTTCGGATGCTGCCTCATCCCGTTCTGCGTGGACAGACTGAAAGATGCCAAGCACACCTGTCCCATCTGCAAGACCGTCCTGGGAGTTTACAGACGCTTATAGCCGCCGCCGCAGCTCTACGCTGGCGGCTCATTGATGCGTCATCTAATCCTATATGAAACTAATTTGTAACAACTTTTTTTCTTTCTAATCAACAGAGAATTTTAGATGGTGTTAAATGCTTGTCCTTTTTATATTCTTATCTGAGCAACAATTAAACAATGTGATAGCTACAAATGTTCACTCTTTCGACCGCAAGTAAACCGGGCCAATGAATGGTTTTCTGCATTCATTCATTTATTATCAATCACAGAATGAACCTTTGAGTTGTGTGTCGTTGAGGACAGTGGGATCTGGTTTAGTCACCTTGATGTTTTTTAAGTAAATCATTAGAAATTGAGGTAGATGGCTGTTGCTCAGCCATATTTATGCTCAACATTCTTTTATTCCAGTTTTGATATTTCTTTGGATCTCCATTTGCCACAAACAGATGGTCGTCTTCTTTCTTCTAACTCATTTGATTAGATTTTTTTAAAGTGGCAGTGTTACATATTTTCCAGGAATATAGTCTCCTTTTATGGCACGATCAAGTAAATGTTAACTTCAGTTATAAAAATGCTAGCTATATCAAATGCAAAGACGAAGCATCATGATGAATAAAGTGGAGAGTTTACTCAAGAAAAGCATTTTATTTCAATAAGTGTTAACAGAAACATCCTTCATATGAGGTATCAGAAGTAAAATATGGAGGATAAAAATACAGAATATCTCCCCCTTCACAAATACCTACAGCAAATTGTAGTATAAGAAGTATATCTGGTATTATAGAAAAGACATAAAAGGTTTTATAGCAAAGAATTAAGTAATCACAAGCACAATATTTGGACCCATTTTTGTTCAGGAAATATATTTGTTCATTATAAACAACGTAATCGTCACAGTATTTGTTTTCGATTACACATAAATCTAAAAATGATTTCACCCATTAATCCAAGCACTGATTTTAGCCTACAGTGCGTGTTTGATAATCAGCCGTGCGTTTCTTCACATCCCAATCTGATTGGACGAGACGAGGAGCGCGAGGAAAACAAAGAAGGTGAGGCCGGCAACGTCTCCATGGATCTGGGCCCCGGCACCTAAAACAGAAACAGGTTTTAGACTCTCAGAACAGTTAAAATTTCCCTCTAATGGTTACACATAAAAAATTCTAATAACCTCATTTTAACCAGAAAATATCCCATATAAAATGCGTCTCCTGGGAACCGTTTGCTAAAACAAACGAAATCATCTGCTATGTCGTTTGGTGAAATGCTGAGCCAGTTTTGGAGCTCAAAAGGTCAACCTGAACATTTGGGAACCACTTTATTCTTTTCAATAAACATCGGGGCAGCTTGTCAAATCTTTTATCACTCAAAAAGATTCAAAGCATAATTAAAAGAAAAAAAAGTAATGGAATGCTTATAGCATATTAGAGATTTGCAAGTAAAGTCTGCTTTTGCTTTTTATTTGAAATATCGGTTGACAAAAATAGTTTTTTTTTATTCAAACTTTGTGGCAAAGTTTGTGTTTAATGACATGCAATATTGTGTTTCACTATTTAATATGAATAAAAATGTTAAAGATTAGTCACTATTTTTTATCTCGACCAATGTGCGCACAACTTTGTTGATATTCTGCTAATGCCGAATAAACAATTTTGCAATTGCAGTGTTTCTGTTTGACAAGAAACGCAGTTAAAATCACTTGTGAATATGTTGATTCCTTAAAAAAAAAAAAAAACACGCCACACCATCATCCTTCCACCACTTCCTGCCATCTTCTTCGTCTTTTCCACCAGTAGTAACATCTGGTTGTTGATCACGACTCGTATGATGTGGAGAAAAAAAAATCATACAGACGAAAAACCACCTCATTCTACCACAAAGAGCTTGATCAAAAAAGTGTCTTTTTTTTATTGCTACGGGTCCATTCAGTAAATTTATTTTCATAATTTGAATTTGTGCAATTATATGTTTAATGAAGCTGTGGATAGTGTGTGACAATCTCCGGAGAATCCAGTACAGCTAAGGAGTAGTTATAGCTACTGTTGGTTTCCATCCCACTGAAGTGTACACATGTGATTTTAATTGTGTTTCTCACTTAATGGAAACACCGCAATTGCAATATTCCACTGTTTGTTTGTTTTTTACATTAGTGGAATATTGGCAAAGCTTTGTGCTCGTCTGTAATGGAAACGCAGCTACTGTTAAGTTTGTTGCAACATCCTTCCATCAATGCCAACGACACAGTTTTCTGTTGATGAAATCATTTATTCTGAATATTGTTTCCACTGAGAACGTCCTTGAATAAGACTCACCTTTGGTAGTTTTGACAGTTGTTGAGGGTGTTGTAGTTGGGTTTGCAGCAGGGGTGGTTACTTTAGAAGTCGAGTTGGGAGAGGCGGAGCTGCTTGCTCTGCCTCCTGTAAGCCCAATATCCAGTGTGTCAAGTTCTGATTGTAGCCTGGTTGAGATCCAGCTTCTTACTACTGGGGTATTTTCAAAGCTCCTTAAATCAGCCAGGTTGTTGCCAAGAAGACCTTTAACTTCGCTAACACGCAGACTCTATGGAGAGAAAAGCAGGTCAAATTTCATACTTGGGACATGAAAAGGAACTTACACCATTACCAGAAGAAATAAAAAAACTCCGGATGACACTGACCTGTATCACACTCTCGTCCAGGTTAATAAATGTCTGCAGGTCCATATTGACGTCGGAGGCTACCAAACTTTGAACAAAATTATAAGGTGCGCCTCCTACAGGACAAAAAAAAAATGGTGCTTACGTTTAGCTCAATCTTTAAGAGACGTTTTCTATTTAATGCAGCAGGTTTGTTTGTGTGTGCGTGCATGCGTGTGTGTCTGCTCACCCAGGTATGGCTGTATGAGCTGGTACAATGGAACGTTTGATCTGGAGGTAGGCTGAAACGCTTGAAGGGCGATGCTGAAGAGCACTTTGAGTTTGTCTCTGGTGCAATTGGACACATCCAAAGCGTCGGCATCTCTGAGACAGCAAAAAGTACAAAACATATGTTTGAAATGTGTCAGTGAAACATTAGATTTTCAATAAATCAGACTTAAACAAGTCCAAAAATGAAATTAATCAGGGTGACAATATTTTGGTAAATGTTTTTAAAATGCTTTTTGTTCACTAGAACAGACAGCAAGCGGAAGAGAACTTCAATATCACGTTTTGGTAGGAACTATTTATCAGAACAAGAATAGATCCAGTAAATTTACTCAAGTCAAAGTTTATTCATGCAACACATTTACAACAGTATCAGCTGACCAAGCTGTTTCACAACAATCACATCACATTTAGAAAATAATGAGCAAACTACGATGGCATATTAAGGGCATAGTAGACAGAAAAAGGGAGGATTATACGTCTGCCAAACACTCTGAAATTTTGAGGTTAATCTCAGACATTTTTTAAAAAAAAAAAAAAAAAAAAAACAACAACAAAGAAACAGGGTAATTTCTGAATTTCAAAAGTTGAAAATCTTTTTACTTTTGTAAATGTTCTGACTTTTAAAAGTTTTTTCTGGAGAATTTCTAAGATTAATCACAAAATTTGAGGGTTTTTTTCTTTCTATCAACAATGGCAAAATAAGAACAAAACAAAACGGATGCTTAAAAAAATTCAAAAATAAAATAAAAATAGTTTCCATGTTAACCAGCTGCAATATTACACCATCTGATTATTAAAATCAATACAAAATACATTTATGCTACATTTTAATTATACTCATATCACTAAGTAGAGTTTTGTGATGAAGTTTATTTTATAAGATGAGGTTATGGTTCTGCGACCTGAGAAAAGTCAATCCTCAGTTTAACCTCAACCTAACCCTGATAATCCAGTGAGATTAAGAGTAGAACAAACCCAAAACAAAGAGTACTTACTTCAAGCTAAGTTGAGAGATGTTGCTAAGAACTGCAGCATCCACAGAGCACAGGTTTGGTCCTCCGATAGCATTAAGCTCGGCGCTCTCAAGTTTGTTGCCTCCCACGCTCAGATACTTAGAGATGATAGCTTTAGCCTGAAGCAGCAGAAACGAGCACTGATGTGAACGAACAGGCGTACCGACGGCAAATACGAGCACAACACATTTAACCGTTTGCCCACCAAGCTTGGATCCCACGCTCCGTATGTTGTGTCCATCAGAGATGCGAGCGTGTCCACCTCAGTGATGTTCCATGTATTGATCTGATCTATCGAGGCAATGCGCGACGCCGGGCCCAAGATCTGGACCTGGTCTTCAGGGACGGTGGTGCTGTACGCCTAGATACAGAAAGTTTTACAAAGAATTAAAGGAGAAACATCCAAATTAAGACACAGACTGAGGATGGGTTTATCTTTGTCTCTGAATAAGCAATATAACTTAATGGCTTTTATTGTGCTCTTATTAAAAGTTAAAATGAAAATCCTCAAGTTTTGTTTCCACGGTACGTCCGTTTCCATCATAGTGAGCAAAATAAAAATGGTAAACATTTATTTTTGAACAGCACAAATGGTTAAGGGAATATTAATGACACGCTCAGCACTGTATAGAAACATAGATGAGCAACAGATGAGTTATTAAATTAGACACAAATCAAAAGTACACAAAATGTAATCTAAACAACCACTAACCAAATTCCTTTTCCCCCACCAAAAAAGACTAAAAGAGAATCTGGTCAAATTAAAGATTGCTGCCAAACTTCTACAGTGTGACCCATGTGAGTAGGAAATGGACAGGAAAATTCACCTCAGATGGGATTGTCAATAGGTTTCAAATTGACCCAGTGGATAAAAAGTGGATTTTTATTTTCTTAATACTTGTTTAGGACTCACATAGGGTGGAAAATAATGCACTACAGAAAAGCAATAGAACTTTTTTTTTTTTTTTGCCACAGTTTAACCTGAACTGCGCTGAAATATGCTGCAATTCAAATTATCAACAAGTCGTATCAAAATGAAGAGCAAGCATGCTAACGTTAGCCTAGTACATCAGTGAACTGGTCCAGTGGATGCATCATCACGCTCCATGTGCTCACCTCCTGCAGCTTGGTGAGAACAATCTTGAGGTAATCCTCTTGATCCACCTTCTGGGTGATGATCTCCAGGTTGTCCCTGACAACCGCAGCACTGAGACAGCTGTTGAACTGATTGATGTCGCTGTAGTCGAAGGGGAAGGTGACACCACTGATGGTGACCTGGGTGATGTTTCCTACTGTGCATTCAGTGACTGAAACAAGAGGAAGAAATATGAAAATCAATCATTACTGGATGAACAAGCATAAAAAAAAACTGATGAAAGGATTATCAACTGACCCGCCTGTCGCTTAAGTCTGCTTCTAATTGATCGTCTTATATTTGCTTTCATTGCCCCTATCTTCGCTCTGCTGACTCCATCAGTTTTGAGGACTTTCAGGTAGTATTTTAAGAATGAGCGCTTCGTGGTCTGCAAGCAGGAAAAACGGGAAAATCAAGAGAAAAAAATTTAATCATTCATGTTCTTTCATCTGCATACAAAATATCTTTTTTTTGAAGCAGTGACTTACTTGGTCAAAGTTGTCATAGAAACCTGAAGACATATACAGAGGAAATGTATCGAGGTTCCTCAGCGTTGTTTCAGTCCATGTCGGAGCAAGTCTGGTTATGAAAAAAAAAAAAAAACAAAAAAAAAAGGTTATTTTTTTTAAAGGTCGAAAAAGGCAACAAATTTCTGCCAAAGACACAGATCTTTACCGATATCTAGTGGTCCCACCGATCAGACGGGTCTCCACTGCGGCCGCCTGAGCGGCAGACAGATCCGGGCAGGTCTTCAGTTTCTCCAAGATGGATTCATCAGAGTCCAGGATGTAAGAGGGGCTCAGGTAGCAGCACATGTTTCCCAGAACTGTTACTTGGTCTTTAGTCAGGTTTGTGGTTGTTATGCCCTGAGATGAAAAGTCAGACATGAGCACAATAAAATTAGAACATTAAATAAACCTACAGGTGGTGCTAAGGTGGGCCTCAGAAAATTGAGGGAAGATGAGGAAAAATAAATACATTTAATCTAATAATTTTTTAATCACCAAATCCAACCTATTTTTAATCATTATTATAAAATATAAATTAAGATAATGTATTGAAATGTTCTTTGGCATATTCATCTTTCTGACTGGCTGCCAGTAAATTTTATCAAGAGGCTTTGCTACTCAAGCTAGCATAGCATACCTCAACATCAAACTGTTTGAGGCTGCAATTTTGTTAATTATTGAAAAATGCAGAATAAAAGTGAAGTTAATTTTTACACATTTGTAAAAATACTGTATAGGTTTGCAAAGCTAGAAGCTAATGTTGTTTGTGAGGCCATGGCATGGACACAGGCTAATTTTTCTAGCCACACAATTAGCCTGTTTAGCTTAGCGTAGCCTAAGTATGTGCAACTCTGTTTTTAGCGCTATTAAGCTAACTCTATTCAACTTAAAAGTCAAAATTATTGAACCATTACAGGCTACAAATGGCAAGCAATTGTATAATTACCCCCTTTTTTACTTTATGAATGTTTTTGTGCAGTAGTCTGAGGCTGCTTTTTGTTAAACATCACATACATCAACCAGCCAGTTAGACTAGAGATGTAAATTAGCACCTTGCTTATAATATCATCTATTCAGATTTAAATATGAATTGATATATATATAATATTAAATTTCTGAAAAAATAAACTTGAAACAATGAACAAAAAATGTGCTATTATGCCAGCTGTAAAACAACAAAGGAGCATTTCTGTCATCTGCAGATATGCAGTGTCGACATAATGCTAATCTATGTATGTACGATATTATCACCATCCTAAAACAATGGCCAAAGTCTTTGTTTTTTCTTTCTTTTTTTTTTTTCTTTTTTTTAAACCAAAAATGATTTTGGCAAACATGACTTGACTTTTGGTGGTGGTGGGGGACAAAATCACATTTTTCAACCCCAACTGCCTATGGCCACGCCCCTGTTGAGAATCAACAATAATTTCAAACAATTTTGGCTTTTAAAATTAATATAGTTGTGATTTGTAATACCTTTAACATGATTTTCTTTTTAATCTCTCTATTTTCTTTTTTTTTTAGAATTACAGAGGATTAAATTATGAAGACAATGATTCTTGTGATCAACGATAGTTTTCGGGTGAAACTTACCAGGCAGCTCCTGGCGTTATCAAACAGAGCAGTCCGCTTGTAGCTGAGTTCTGAGGAGAACACCGAGAAGTCGGCGTCGCTGAGCTGTTCAAAGTATTGCCTGCAGTTGCTCTGGGACACCAGAGAGTAGCTGGTGTTCAGGGAGAAGGACATCAACAAGTCAGCATTTAATCAGGAGTCCAACACTAATTAGATATTGCAAGAGGACTTACTCATAGTACAGCAGCACATCTGGAGGGAAAAGTTCAAAGCTAGTGATGTCTGATTCTTTCCTGATGAGGTTGAACATGCAGGTCAACTGATGAGACAAAATGCATTTACCTGTTACCAACTCGTGTTGCATATTCCCTTCACCGCTTAATCAGAAACAGAAACAACTAAGTCAATTACAGCATTAAACATCTGGGTACGTCTGCAAAGATATGTAGAGTTCTGTATGCTGTGTTCTTATAGTTGTAGAAAAAATATGTACATTTATGGAAAAATAATTTGACCCACTGGCAAATCCCTGGGGCTGTGGGTCTGATATGCCTGTTTCTAATAACTGTACATTAGTTTCTGCTATAGTCTTGTACAATAGCAGAACTATAGTAGATTTTTTTCTTAACACCATCAATGCAATTACACTCCCGGACTCTCACCTGAGACTCCACCAGTTTGACTTTGTCTGTGCCTTTGCGCCGACAGGCTTTGACCAGATTCTTGACCTGCGCCTTCTGAATTGTTCTCACACTTGTGCATGTGAATCCTTGCAGCACAGAGGAAGACAGGCTACACAAACACACAAATACATGTTGGGATCACTGAACACACGCAGAGAAAAGACCACATGTTTTCACACCAGATTGTTTGTCTAAACCTACTTGTTCGCACTTCCCAGGACAGCCGTGGAGCTTTCCATTGCGATTACGCCAAAGAACAGCTCAGCCTGACGAAACAAAGTTATAAACTCAAGTAGTTGTTCTTCTGGTAACATACAAATGAGAGAAAAAAAAAAAACTCTACAGGTTTTTAGCGAAGAAAGATCTCCTCTACCTGCTGGCGTTTCCATTTCTTCTTGTTGAGTTTTGTGACGCTGCCAGCTGTAAAGCTCTGGAGGAAAACCCGAGGGATCTCAGTGGCCATTTCGTCCGGAACGTTCTGGATTATCGCCTCTCCGGTGCTGTTCACCGATAAAATCTGGCAGAAGAATGGTGAGCATCCAGTTGTAGGTTATTCAAACTTAGCTAAATCCAAAATTAAGATTCAAATCAAACTTTGTTTAAATCCATTTTAGATTCATTTAAAGGGGGAGGATTATGCCACATAGCGCCATTTCATTGCACAATCAAGTATTTCTGTTAATTTCAGTTGTTATAAAAATGCTGCATTATTTCAAATATTACTTAAAAAGAAATTTGACTTTGTAACTGAAATTGGGCCTCTGTCTCTTTAAGAAGCTCCTGCTCTTTTCTGAAACTCTGCTTTCAGGAAGCTATCACAACATGGCTCCTCTATTAACCCTTTAACAATCCTTTTAGCAGAGAAGTAGCTCCTATAATGAGGTGAGATGACATGCAGTTCCACCTGATGTTTGCTAATTGCTGCTGGCTAGTTTGAAGGAGCTGATTGGGGGAGTTATGGGGGAGGGCTGCTCTGTGAGGCGGAAACTTGGAAGCTTGGAAAGTGAAGCTTCATCCTCAAAGGCGGAGCTATGTACACCCAGGCGTTTTGCACAGCTGAATTGTTGCCATGGAGATTCAAGGATTTTCTCAAACATTCATTCAGATTCAGAAAGAATCAAGGCAACACTCCAGGTATGTTATTGATGACGGAATAACAATGTAACATGATGCAAAGTTCAAAAAAGTTGATTTTACATAATTCTGCCCCTTTACTTTTTTTCCCCCCCCGATAATGAAAACCTATACTATAAATCACGCAGGCATACCTGGGTGACAAAAATCTGCTGGACGATCTTTGGAGCGGACATCATGTGTCCCACAAGCGAGGGGTTTCTGGAGGCGACCAAAATCTCAGAGCTCTGGATTTTCCTGAAAACTCTGGAGGGGACACCAATGATGAGAGTACCCAGCGTAAAAAGAGACGAAGAGCTATTGATCTGGTGGGATAAAGGAAGCAATCAGTGAGTGTTAAACATGAAAATTGGTCATGAGCAAGATGAAATGGGCGAAGGGAGAAGCTATACCTGCATTACGGTCAAGAGAGACTCGATAATGCTCTTTGCCTGTCCTCCATTCCAGCCCATCACGTTGCTGAGTGTGAACAGAGCATTGACCAGCTGCTGTGGCTGGATGGCCTTGATCTGCCCCTTGGACATACTGGTGCTCTCATTGCCGAGAGCAGAGATGGCGTTGGAGTCGATGTCATCACCCAAGTTGCTCGTCAGAGCAGCAGAAATCTACAGATGCAAAAGTAAAAAAAATAAATAAATAACTTTTTAAGTATTATTTTTCATTTCTTTGACAGGAAGTTGTATTGTGAAGCAGATTTTTCTGGTTTAGTTCCTATTTTGGTACACAATAATATTATTCATAATTGACACGATGCAATCTGCTGGGTTTCCTTAGAGAGAAACTTTTTAAGCTATTGGGATAATGTGGATCCCCATTTGAGGTGACAGACAAACACTATGCAACGTTTACTTCTCAGAAAAACAAAAATTCTCAGAAACTATTGCAATAGAAAAGAGCAAATGCTGGACAGTAGCTATCTTTTCATTGATCGTATAATTGCGCCTTTTGGAATTACTAAAATAAATTTGCTAAATAAGAAACATGTCAATTTTGAAAAACAATTTTGCTAAAAAAAATTTTTTGCTCCAAGTGGTTTTCTGGCTTCTGCGTATTTCGCAAAACAGCGACGGAGACCCTCTTTTTGCATCACACAAGTCGTGATCAACAACAGGATGTTTCTACTGCCGAAAAAGACTTATTTAATGGAAACATCCCAATTGCAAAATTGTGTTTTTTCAATGTAAGCAGAAGATCCACAAAGTTTTGAGTACCTTTGTAACAGAAATGGAGCTACTGTTCATGTGTTTAAGTTCTTTACATCGGCTCTTGTGTTTTTGTTTTCCCTCTGTGTTCCTGTTACCTGTGGATCGAGATCTTGGCAGACAATGGTGAGGTTCTGCAACACGAACAAACTTTCTCCTGGAGTCAGCTGGGTGAATGCCATGGCAGGAGCGACACACCGGCACAACATAGGAAGGCTGCAGAGAATATATCAAAATAACAATAAAGACAAAAAAAAAAAAAACACCTTTGCAAAATCTTAGTAATTGGTGATAAACGCACAGAAGGGGGTGGAAGTTACTGTCTTGTTGGTAGACCAGTTTAGTGTAGTAGTCAGTGAGGTTCTGAGGCAAAACCGAGTGGTTGAGGAGTGCGATGTTCAGGGGGTTCACCGTGAACACCTGCAGGGTCTATAAGGAGCAGGAACAATAAAAGCAGGGACAATAAAAATCTGTGTCTCCTATTATTTGTCATTTAAGAGATCAATTCCAGATTCAGTACCTGATCCGATCCGAAGGTCTGAAGAATCTCAAGAGTGAGGAACGGCATGAAAGGGCCGATGTACTCAGCAAACCAAGCCGTAGAGTTCAGCTCTGGGTGGTTGGGGTCGTAACATCTTGGTGTTGCTATGGTGACAGGTTAAAACTGTTCAGGTTCAAAGATTTTATATTTATGACAAATGAAGAGTAATTCATCGACAGGGTACTAACAAGGTGCCAAGAGTGTGTACCCACAGGATACTTATGAGGTACTTTTGAGATACTGGTGTGTACTTACAAGGTTCCACCTGTTTATAAAAACATTTATACTTTTTGGGTACTGAGAGGGGTATTTATGAAAAACATTAAGGGTACTTACAGGAGAAACTTATGGAATATATTTTTGCAGGGTAATTGAGTTTGCCTGTAGGGTTGTTACAAGAGTTACAGGTTGGGTTTGACTAACAGGCATTTCTGAGGACCTGCTTGTATTCAGAGGGAACTTTCTCCATCTGCATTTAACAAGTATCCATGGTGATACCTATAGCATAACTATAGATATAAAAACTTAATTAATATTGACCTGGCTGTACTATCAGAAGACTTATTACCTTGTACAGTATTCCTCATATCTACTGTACATGCACCCTTTGTAGGTATCAGAATTACAAACTGACAACTGAAAAGTGAAATGATTAAAAAACAAAGCAAAATAAGTATGAATTTAAGGTTACTTTGTTGCCGTGTTCGAACTCACCTGATTGGAGGTAGTTCCTGATGGTGCTGAACACATCTTCCCGCACAAAGTCCACCGCAGTGTAGTTGTATTGACCAAGAACCGAGACACTGAAACGGCACAAGGTTCAATCAGGACACAGAAACAAAAACTTCAAAAAGTTCAATCAGGACACAGAAACAAAAACTTCAAAAAGAGAGGGAAAAAAAAAAAGCTGCTTGGAAACATACAGTTTCTGGAAGGCCAGACACGAGGTGTTATGTGTAACATCTGGACTGATCAGACTCTTTGAGAGGAAGACCAAGTAGTTCTGGAGGCTTCGGTCAAACCAAGCGTTGACCTCTGACCTGCTGGTACTGCTGAGGGCCATGGGCCAAACGCAGGGCAGGGTGGGACGCCTGACATCTACCGGCAGGGACTCCTGCAGTGAATTAACAGGTTGTTGTGTTTGCACACATCATCCCGATGTTGTGTTTGAGATTCCAACAGGTGTGTTACATACAGTTTCCAAAAACACTCGTGTCTGAACATAGCTGCTGTAGAGACCACAGAGCAGCGCTTCATCGTCAACGACGTCTGGCCGACGCAGTAGGTTCCCCAGATGTGACGGAGGCATGGAGTTCACCAGCTGGAAGATCAGAAGTCACATAAATGAAGTCGATTTGGTCGGCCTCAGTTCTGCCAATACCCGAAAGCTTTTATCTCAACACACCAGATGCTTCTGGTCACGAGGCATGAGGGACAGGAAGGTGGTCAGGTTGGGGAACTGGAATCCCAAGAATGAGTCCTCGACAAAGCTGTAGAAGCTGCCGTCACCATAGCAACGGAGAGCTGGAGGGGCTATCAAAAAAACAGGATTTTCAGGTGATGTGTAAGTTTTGTTTTTGGAGACATTTCTCTAATATAACATTATATAAATTGATTTTCAATGATTCGCTGTAGTTTGTTCACTCTGACTATTTAAGTCTATTTCCCAGCAGCCTCAATGTAGCGCTCAGCTAAACGGCTTGCAGTCTATGTTGGACCACAAAATACTTCTGACTTTGCAGATATGAAGCAAGCTTACTGTAAAGATTTAACAAAGATCTTTACATACGTATGCTCGAGTTTTGCTGCTCAGCTGACTTTCAAAAAGCAGTTTCTTTACCTTTCAGTGCCAGAATGATGTGGTTGTAGATTTCTTTCTGGGAATCCGGAGTGAGTGTTAGGATTGTCGAATTGAGAAGCGTTACACTGAAACAGACAAAATAAAAATTCTAAGAATTTTTGGAGAAGATTTGAATCAAAATAAAAAATTTTACTGAAACACAGCACCAATGTGTGAAAGTGCCCTTCCTTGAACGTTTTTTTTTTTTTTTACACATTCTCCCGTTGCAACCATAGTGTTGAATGTAATTTATGCTATCAACTAAAACAACTGCTTGTGCTTGTTGCCTTTCCACTCACCCCTGCTGTCCAATGCTGCAGTTCCTTCCCGCCAGTATCTGGAAGTATGGGTTGACTTGGGAGGGGATCAGGCTTATGACCAGGGGAGGCAGTCGATTATTGAGCCACTGGGATACCACCGAGTCCTCCACTGAGGGATGGGACAGGTTTGCACGATTGAACACAACCTCCAGCATAGCGGACCTCACTGCAGAGGGCATCATCTGTTCATTTCCCTGCAAGAAAAAACCACAAACAAAAACACTGAAAATCATAGACTATCTACAAACAAACATTTTTAATACAGATTAAATTACACCAGCCAACACTTTGCTGTTAAGGTAAGATGTTTTGCGTACCCTAATGGCGACTGAGAACTCATCAAAGAAAACGGCCAACATTGGGTCTGGGACGTATTTCATAACCATGGCAACCTGGTCAGAAGTCGTGAGCAGCCCAGGTATGGTGAATAAGCCCACCAGCTGTCCGACAGACAGAGAGGCCAGTGCTTCCATCTGTACACAAACAAAGGCATTTATGTTTACAGTAACGAGTTTTGACTATAAAGATAGAAATGAAAAAGCCTTGAAATAACACGAAAAGAAGCCATGCGACAGAACCTACCGGTGAAAAGTCGGGGTAGAGCTTCAGCAGTTCCTGGATGGAAATGAAAACAGAAAAGCCTCCCAGGTTCTTCTGCAGCCAGTCACTGCTATCGACTGTGTTGGAGCTGCAGGATGGATCTGAGCCACACAAACAAACACACATGCTAAGCTAATCGTTACCCTTCTGAGGAGACGCCGACCACTTCTATATGCTTTCATACTTCATCACGTAAGACAAGAAAGATGTTCAAAAAGTTTTCAGTATCAACTAGCAAAATGGTAGATTTGATGGGACTTGACTTGGGCAAAAGTACAAGTTTCACAAAATTGACAACAAATGATTTCACAAACATGAAAATCATGGTCTTATTGACTTTACTTGAAACAAAACAAAGTACTGTTTTAATTGAAGGTGAAATTATACAAAAAATACAACTATAATAATAACTATGTCATTATAGTATAATATAGCAGTTATTCATATTCATTTTAATTTCCAAAAGCTTAAGAAAAAAAAATATAGCGGTAATACTTAAACAAACATGGTTATTTCATTAACTGTACCATTCTGCAACAAACTGATATTATCTTAATCACTTTGAATTCTTAACAACACTTTATGTAAATCACTTTGGGTCGCATCACTGCTGGAAATGTGCTACGCAAAGAAAATTGTCTTGTCATGCATCTGCCTACTTATATAATTCATTAGTAGGTTGAACTATATAGTGATTTAAAATCTTTTACTCATTGACTGTTTCAAAATGAATTTAGCTCCCCACCCTCCTACACACCATCTAAAAAGCAGAAGAACTACAGCGTTTTTATTTTTCATGGTGCAATTACTTACATGGACTGAAAAACTGGTCTTCGTTTTGATGTTTTCTTTTTTTAGATCTGTTTGGTGTTGGGCTTATTTAATTATTTGTTTTTACTCTGCTTATATTCATTTTTAAACAATTTCATAATTTTGTCCCTCAAAATATTAAAACAAATACTTTTCATAGACATTCTGTCCCAAGACAATACTAAATAGAGCTACCTTTCAGAAATAATTCTAATAATTTCTCTAAGACCACAATTTCTCAGATCAATGTTATGGTCACTTTAATGTCATGGTTTTCCTTTACAATGACTCTTTCACTTCAATACGTCAACATGCATGGTAAGGATCAGTGTGTTTGCAGGTTCCTACCTGCAGTGTTGTTTGTTGTCAGATAAACTGTGATGAAGTGTGTAAAGACAGACATCTGCTTTTCACGCAACATGACTGGATGAAGCTTGCTCAATGTCTTCACGCTGAAAATGGAAAAGATTTTATTATCACAAATTGTAAAAGATAACTAAAAGGAATAAAAGAATAAATGTATCCATGCTTACATGTACTGGTAGGTGCTGCAGTCCAGTGATTTGGAGGAGAGACATGAGAGGAAGTCCTCGGAAACAGCTGGCAGGAACGGACGAAGGCGGCGGCCGAACCACATCTGGACGAAGGCGGGATCGTTGAAGACTGTCATGTTGACGACATCCAGCCGGAGTTCTCGTATGGAGTCCAGGATCATGGAGGCAGAAGGATGGTCAGGACGGAGCGTCTGCAACAAGAAATGATCCGCGATAAATTCTTAGCAAAATAAAAGATCTTGAAGTGTGTTTACATACATCAATTGTACTTATTGTACTATTTATTAACATATATTTTCAGCCCCAATATTTTTTTTCTTTTTGTCATATCACAGGTGAGAAATGTTTGTAGATGGCAATAGTCAATTTGGTTGAAACCAAAAGCCAGTCTTACGGTGTTGCTCAGCAGATCCAGAGCTTGATCCAGGACCAGGGAGGCTTTGGACAGCAGCAGCTTCCAGGCAGGTTTGGAGCCTCTTGAGTCGGAGACCCTATCACAACCCAACATGGCTGCCAGATCCACAGCTGTTAAACCTGACAGCTGGAGAGGAGAATGACAACAGACCAGATGTTGAACCAAACATGGAACCATTTTCCCTCAGCTGCACTTTGAGGACAGATGATGATGATGATGCGACGTCTTACAGAGGCACAGGCAAATTCCTCCACAGAGAAGCTGCAGTGCCGTCCGACCATCGTTGATCTGTCTAGGTGGATCTGAAGCTCTGTGCTGTAACACAAAATGATTCATGTTTCCTTAATTTAACAGGAAATGTTTAGGGGAGAAATATCAAAAAGTCTTTCTCAACCCTACCTGTTGACTCCCATGCATATCTCTGTCTCTGTGAAAACGTGCAAGACAAGATAAAGTATTAAAATAAAAATAATACATCATTTTAAATAAAAGTAGATAAAGGGTAGTTATGCAGTGACAGGAAGCTTACCATTTGCCATTGTTACATTGCACTAGGTAGAGAAAATGATTAAAATGGTTATTAATCTTCAAAAAACAAATACATTTGTTTGAAAACATAAAATAAAATGTCCACAGTAGCATATCTTTACCTGCCCAATGTATATGATGCAGTCTGTGATAAAAATTCAAAAAATGAATTATTTAAAATTCTCAGTTATTAAAGAAATAAGAAATTTACACAAATTTAAATCACAAAGTTATTTCTTGATTACCTTTTCAAAAACCAACAATCAGTAAATTTGCATATTAAGTATTATCGCTTTGTATTTAATTTTATATTGAAATACAAGAAAATGATCTCAGCACAACTTCCTTTACATGTAACTAAAATCATCATTGTTGTTACAGTTTGTTGGGAAAATGTTACATAAAGAAAATAAAATTAAAGAAGAGAATATTGGGAAGAGATTTAACGTAACAGTATTTGTATTAAAAAATGCAGCTTTTTATTGTAAAACTCACCTAGTGGTAGTTGTTTGGACAAAGCCACTTTAGTATTTGTGATGACTAACACTATGTCAGGGGAAGTGGTTATCATGGCCTTGTCCAGTCTGGCGAATCTGCACGGCAAAAATATTTTACATTTGGTCAAACTAAACTCATTCTGTGGTCTGCAAGAATCACCAAAATCATCCATGTGTAGAAAACAATAATAATAATCAGAATAATCAGAGAGAAAATAAATTTAAAACAAACATGCTATTATCATTCTATGCATTCATAAGTTTTAGTACATGTCCTTAGTTTTTTGGTAGAATTGCCTTTAACTTTCTATTTGATGTTCTAAGATGTTATTCACACATTATCTTCTAATAATGCCATTTAATTTGATGCTGCTAACGCCATGTTCCACATTCGACATGAAAGCTTTTCTTTGATTACCCAAATAATAGTATTGTTACACCCAAACATTTCAGTTTTGGTTTCATCCACATGATACCTCAAAAGACATTCCTCTTTGTCCTCCTTACCCTAATCCTAACCTACTTGGTCATATTTCTATATTGCAGGTTTGATCTAGACTCACAGTGTTTTGTAGAATGAACAGGAAAGGTTTTCCTGTTGGACAAAAAGGAAGAAAATGAAGAATGAGTTACTACTTTAAACACAAAATCCTCGAAAAACCTTAATTATAATAGACTTTTCTAACCATCTTAGTGAATACGAGGAGAGATGACAGGAACTCCGTGAATCTCCTTTCCTTTGGTGCTTCAGTCATGTAATCAAAGAGCGTGTTGATGACAGCATCTGTGTTTTCAGGGGGCGTCAGACCAAGCAGCTCCACTCTCTGATTTGGCGTGAGGAGCTGTATGACATCCAACTATTAAGAAAAGAAAAGAAAAAAAGGTTATTTCGCCTTACTTTTAAAAAGCACTGATTTGTTGTTGACAGTCTGAGCCTCACTGGGTTGAAGAGTCGGTTGAGACGGATCAGCTCACTGATGATCACAAACTCTGAGAATGGACCGAAGTTGTCGGTCAGCCACTGTGCGCTGTTGTTGAAGGAGGACAAACATCCTGGACCTGGAACAGGTCAAGAAAATGGAGATTTGTTTGTTTTGCACCAAAAAAAGAGGAAAAGTGTTTATTACTTTGAGCATTTACTGTTTTATAAGGAATAACATACTAAGGTTTGTGTGTTTATATGTCTGACATGGAAAGTCATGAAGAAATAAACGAGCACAAAATAAAGAGCTAAAAGACAAAGGGTTTGGATAAATAAATTAAGAAAAACAACTGAAATCTGAAGTTAACTAAAGACATTGATTTGAAGGATGTTGTCGTGGAAACACTAGACAATCATAAAAGTAGCTCGTTAATAGTGTTTCTCAAAAACTGCTCTACTTCATTATATTTCAGACCTACATAAGTTTATTAAAATGTCAACATGCATGGTAAGGATCAGTGTGTTTGCAGGTTCCTACCTGCAGTGTTGTTTGTTCTCAGATAAACTGTGATGAAGTGTGTAAAGACAGACATCTGCTTTTCACGCAACATGACTGGATGAAGCTCGCTCAATGTCTTCACGCTGAAAATGGAAAAGATATTTTATTATCACAGATTGTAAAAGAGATCCAAATATATTTGTAAAGTGATTATAAAGGATAAAGGTATCCATGCTTACATGTACTGGTAGGTGCTGCAGTCCAGTGATTTGGAGGAGAGACATGAGAGGAAGTCCTCGGAAACAGCTGGCAGGAACGGACGAAGGCGGCGGCCGAACCACATCTGGACGAAGGCGGGATCGTTGAAGACTGTCATGTTGACGACATCCAGCCGGAGTTCTCGTATGGAGTCCAGGATCATGGAGGCAGAAGGATGGTCAGGACGGAGCGTCTGCAACAAGAAATGATCCTGGTTACGTTTTTAGCTAAAACAAAGGTCTTGATCGGAGATCAAATAAAGCCGAATGATGAGTTTAGGTGAATTGGTTTAATGGTGTTTAGATCTAGCCATCTGGCCTATTGCACTTTTTAATCTTTGTTTGAACGGCAACAAGAGTTTATTTTACATAATATCAAGCATAATAACATTCACAGTCTTAGCTAATTTGCATTGAAGGTTTTAAGCCCATAGACTCATGACATTACAAACATAGCAGAATCATGATACATCCTACTACTACACAATAGAGCAACCAAACATGGGATAAGGAGCAGAGCGTGAGAAAAATCATCATGAAGTTATCACGGCTGAATGTACCCATGACGATAAACTTAATACCTTTTAAGAAACTCGTTAATCCCCAGTTTAAAAATACATTTTCAGTCTCCATGTATCTACGAGCAGAAGGCAACAACGTGTAATGGCGACGAAGAGGGTGATTTGGGTCAACAAGGACATCTTTGACCTGTTTTGTGATTCTGCTTCTGTCCAGCTGGGGAAGCTCTACCGGACTTATCCCTGTCATGTTGATATACATCCTCACAAGTTTGTGCTTATTGTTTTTACAGGATAAGCGACTAAAACTAACAAAATACAGAAAATGTTAAAACTGATTGGATTATTTTAGATACACTGTCAAATTATAGTTTCTTAATTTCCAACAAAAATGACAAGCTGTGGTGGGCCTTAGCACAGACTGCATCCGTTTCGGTCTTAAAGGTCATGCAATTGTCGAGAATTGAATCAAGATGTTCGTAATGTTGAGACCGATCAAAATTCTGTATCAGCCAAAATAGGAATCAATGATGGGCCTGAAAACTGAACCGAAGCACCGCTGGTTGGAACCAAAAGCCAGTCTTACGGTGTTGCTCAGCAGATCCAGAGCTTGATCCAGGACCAGGGAGGCTTTGGA